AGAGATGTTTCTATGTTTCTCTAATTAATTTGTACGTATATTTTTGGTATTTGTGGGAAAGCAATTTTTTTGTCCTTTATGCATTTTCAAGTTTAAAGTCTTTTAAAGTTTTGCAGTGTTTTTGTGTCCTGCACTGTGGATGTGAGCTGGACTCATTTACTCATTAGTGTCTAATTTTGTGATATTTGTAAGCAGCAGTACCTCAAACACAGCAGTACCCTCCTTCAATACCATTGTACAGCTTGTGTTTTATCTGTCCTTAAAATGTATTAATAGGTTCCTGAGTATACGTTTATTCTCTGGGTAAATAAATACATTTCTTCTCCTGTGGCCATTAAACCTGAATTGTCTTGTGAAAAAGATCAAGTGGTCAAAACATGTTTTTTCTGCCTTTTCTCTTTTGACTGAATTGTTGGTCCAGTCGTGTGTGTTTATGTGTGTGTCCTCTGTTGCTCATTTTCTGATACTGAATTTGGATTTTGTGTTTTGTTGTACATCTTTAAAAAAACGTACCGATGTCACAAACTCAAACTTTGTTCAAACCCATAGAACTTTTTTTATTGAGATCCCAGAGACACCAACATATAACATCAGGATGAATTGTTTGGAAATAAAACTGCACATAAGAGGGATGAATATAGAACAGAAGAATTATTTGTTGAGTGTTTGCCGACACGGTCTTAAACATTCATCTAGTCTCTGGACCAGAGGCCACAGCAGGAGTCAATGAGCTTCGGTGAAAGTTGGCAGTGTGCACAGGTAAAGTAAGAACCTCAGTGTGACCTCACAGGAGATACAGGGTCACTGTTTTCATCCCTTTTCACCACCACCAGGGGGCAGACCTGAGCTTCAGCGTATCAATGAACTCACTAAGTCTGTGAATGATTTTCTTTTGTTTCATCAATGGGAGGTTTGTTGTGTCTTCACCTCCATCGAGCAGGTTGTGTTTTCACCCCTTATGTCATTTTCTATGTTTGTTTGTAAGATTACACAAAAGCTACAGGACAGATTTCCACTAAACTTGGCAGAAGAATTCAGTTTGGTTCAGGAAAGAATCATTTTCATGTTGGTGCAGATCCAATATCCAGGAATGGTTTTATCACTTTCTTTAACATTTTAAGATTTTACGTTTTTTAGAGTAATTCATGGATCCTGATGAAAAACGTCAGACACATTTAAGGAACTGATGTATGAAATGAACGGGACTGCTGATTATTATTAATGTAGTTTATACTTAATTGTGTATTTGTAAAATTCCTGAACTGTTTTATTGAAGCTCCTGATTTTAAAACAAAACTAAAATCACATCTAGAGAGAATTAATTAAAAAGCCAAAATTGGGAAAATAAATGTTGTGAAACTTTGTCTATGAAATGAGTTGAGAACAGTTATATCTCCACTGCGACTGTTCCAAAGCCACATTCATGTCATGTCAATGTTCATGTCATCTTTTGAAACTTAGAGTCTCTTCTACCGCTGCATCAAACCAAACATGCACAACTCACGTCACGTCCACTGGCAACATCGTGAAAACATGCAATGACTATAGTGTGGTATTATCAATTCATAGTATTTTTTAAAAACTCTCATTAAGAATTCTGCAACCACCATCTTAATTTATATATTTTTTAAATCTTTCCCACCTCTACTGTCCATTTAAATATAGCATGATGAAGGAGCGCATTGTGTTGCATTTTGGGAAATGTTTGACCCACACTGTTATATTCTGCTGCCTGAGTTATGATCATTAAAACAAAAGATCAGTGCTGCACCACTGGAGCATCCCTTCATCACAACAATCCAAACATAAATATACTTTATCAGTCAAACTGTAATGCCGCCTACACATCATTTAGTTAAGACTGTAATTAAGAGGGAGTGAGTCAGAAAGACACTCAACAGCCGGCTGGTTGAAAGTCGGAGAGATCGAGAAGCTCTGACAGCATCTTACTTTTCTCACTCTGTGAAAAGAACTTCACAATAGCTGCGAAGATATCAGCCCAAATTTAGATTATTTAACAGACAGGGGAACAATGTGTGATCAACAACGTGATCATCATCTTTCTGGTTTTATAACGACGGCTGAAGTACAATCGGTCCAATTTGCACTTTTCTTCTTTCTGTGTAAAAGTTGTCTTCCTCATTCCTTTTAATAAACATTGTCCTGAAAAGTACAAATTATTAAATTCCTGTTATAAGATAAGATAAAGTGATGGTAAATCTGTCCTGCTCGATGGAAACATGAGTCCATGAGTCCTTCCACAGCACTGGGCGACGTTTCAGTTACAAGCTACAGGAAATTTAAAGGCTAACTGTCTTTTTGGTTGAACGACAAGGCAATCGAAGTGTTTGACAAACACCAACACACACATGTAAAATATTAAAGGATCCCTTTATCAAGTCAGGATGTGTCGTACACCTGGCAAAGTCAAACATGAAGCGGATAAAGTCCAAAGCATCTGAAGAGTTAAGAAGTTGAAACCCAATGAAAGTTAGTAACTGATTCACACCGGATATGGCGCAGCGCATTTAAACCACAGCATAGATCAAAAGAAATACACTTCGACTCGACCGAACAAACGTACGTGTGGTCAGGCCCTGCGGGCAGTGATCCCTGTCTGTGAGTGTCCCTCACGTCTCCTCTCTCAGACCTGAGGGCAGCTGGTGTTGCTGAGTGTGAATGTCTTAAAATAAATGGCTGTGACATAAATAGCAACAAATTACAGAGGGGGCCCGACAGTGGAACTGATGTCCTTAAGTTTACAGCGGTTAAAAACACAGATGGAGACGGGGGGAACCACTTTTACAGGGAGGGGAGTCTGATCCAGAGAGGTCCGGTCTGTAACGTGGGACAGTCCGATGATACGCAGGCGTATAGCGTTAAGGACAGACGTGGTGGTCGTTTCTCTGTCGCAGAGTTGAGACAGGTAGGTAGGCTGTGTGTGGGTGTTAGGGCAAGAAGGGAACAGTTGATTCGCTGCAGCGCGTCCTCTTCGCTCGTGTTTGGCCTCCCTCCGTCTAGAACAGCTGGATCATGGACTCCCGAGACTTGCCCACTCCGATCCATTTCACTGAAGGAAACAGAGGAGCAGAGGAAAGTGTTAAAAACCTTATAAGATCATTTGTAAAACGTATTCACTCTGTTCTGTGGTGAAAACCATGGAAGTGTGGATCAAAACTTTAAGTTTGGAAAGGCCGTTATAGCAACAGAGGGTAATAAAGGAACTATAGTATGATTTAAAATCAAATCAAAATACTGTACCAGGCACTCCCACATGCTCCTCAACAAAGTGGACATATTTCTGGGCGTTCTCAGGCAGCTCCTCGAAGCTTCTGGCAGCAGAGGTGTCGCTGTTCCAGCCGGGCAGCGTCTCATACTGGACCTCCACACGCTGCAGTACCTCCTGATTGGCTGGCACAGGATCAGTGAGAAGGTCAGGTTATCAATACGTCTCAACCTTAAAACTGAGCGTTCTGTACGTTATGATAGAGACCAGAGGAAGAGCAAAGGTTGGATGTTGGGGAAACAGAGGTGAGAAAAACTCCACTGACAGCAGAGAAGCACCAGTCGAGACTTGATTTCCAAACTAAATGAGCGGATCCACTGAGAAGGTGGATGATGAATGAAAACAACTTTGAGTCAATCCCATGATTAGACTGAGTGTGTGGGTGGAAGAAAAAATCTGAATCTTCAGCACAAAAACCAGAGCCTCTCAATTTGTCTCTTAGACAAGAAGGAGCTTTCAGACACACACCAGGAAACTCACCTGGGAAGTGAGGTATAGGTTGGTTGTCGACTTTGTACGCTACGCCCACTTTGATCTCGGAGAACACGTCGAGTATGTCGAGCTTGGTGAGCGCTATACTGAAAGAGAAGAGGGACGGCTTTCAACAACACAGAACACTCACACGCAACTATAAATACAGTAAATCATTTGTAATTTTAAAAAATCAATTATCGTTTTTTTAAATTGGATTTCATTGACAGTAGTTATATTCAAATCTCTTTTAATCTTGTTTTTCTTTTTTATCGCACTTTATTTTAAAGTATATATTTTTTTAAATAATAATTATTGAGAAGTACGATTTTACAACAAACTATTTATCCGCTTCATACTCACGCTGTGAAGCCATTAATCATGTGCGCATATTTGATGAGCACCACATCCAGCCAACCACATCGTCTCTTCCTGCCCGTGGTCACGCCCACCTCCTTCCCTCGAGTCTGAAGCAGCTCTCCGACCTCCTGCGGACGAGTGCAGAGAGTCTCAGGTCTCGTTACAGTCTGAAGAACTTTCTGTTTATTCCACATGACTTAAATGACTCAGACACGTCATTAGACATCAGCCTCGCTGCTCAGGCTTCAGTGTGAGTGCTGAGCAGGTGTCACAGGCAGATACATGGAGGTTTACTGAAGCTGAACCTCCTCTGGGTGGTGCTGTCTGAAAACAAAACTCCTCCAGTGAGCAGGAAGCCGAGGTGAAAATCACATGATTGTGTTGACGTGATGAGGTGAGGAAGAAAAACAAGTTTTCTTTTCCAACACTTCTCTTTTTCATCTTTTTAAACTCGAGCTGCAACAATTAGTCGACAACATGTTTAGGTTTGTTAAGTTTGCAGCTTCTGAACTGTGAGGACTGTAAACTTTTCTGCATGACGCAGATTCTAGACTAAACATGTGAAGATCTTCCCTCGGAGTGTAAGAAATAATCAAAGCCATTCGACCATATCCTCGACATTGTATAGACGAAACGTTCATGTTTGTATCCTGATGGGAGGTGGAAGTCTGTGTGTGTGTCTGTGTGGGTGTGTGTGTGTGTGTCCTTACGTTGCTCTGCTCTGAGGGGAACGCTCCGATGCCCACTCTGGTGGTGTACGCCTTGACCACACCATAAACCTCCCCGACATTCTGAGGTGGCATCCCGAGACCTGTGCACACCCCGCCCACTGTGCAGTTGGACGACGTCACAAATGGGTACGTCCCTGTAAAGACACAAGAAGAAGACGACTGATGAAATGTTCCTTTACATCGAGGATCTGTAGACGTTGGATGAATAAACATGCATCTGAAAGACAAGTTTTCAAAGCTTCACTCAAAACATGAAGACGACTGTGGTGCTAAATAAGCGCCCCCTCGAATCAACTGGTTCCAGGACAACTGGTCGCTCACGTCTGTGCTTCAAGGATTTCTGTAGCAGGACATGAAGCAGGCAGACGTCAAGCCCAACAGCTGGGAGCCAGTGTTTGGAGACAGACTGTTGCAGAAGGAAGCCGAAGAAACAGAACAGGAAACTATGTGCAGATGAGCAGCAGCCTTATCAGTAGCAGGATCTTCTTCACTCCTCTGTCCCAGCTGAAAAAGAGGCTGCCGCTCCAGAATGAGGCTTCATGACCCCGACCCCGCTGCAACCGAAGACTGACAGCAGGTCAGACACAATCAATCATCAGGCCTGACGGTGAGTAACCGAACCACCATTTTGACAGATTTATTTGTAACTTGGGGAATTAATGTGCAGTTTCAGTTTGCAACATACCGACGACTGTACAGACAAATGTCACTTTTTATTTAGATACTAAAGAAATCCTGATCCGCAGGTTATGGAGTTATACAAAGGTTTTTCAGGGAGTTTCTCCTTATTTGATTTAAGGATCTGTAAAACCTCCTGAGGTGTGTATGTGATATTTCACTCTTTAGATTACACTATAAATGAAACAGTTTGGAGCAGGAGCAGAGAAAATTGGTGCTATTCTAACTCTGTATAAAAGCCACTTTATCTGCCTCCATGAGCCTCTGCTCACACTGACCTCGTTGGTGAGCAGTCAAATCAGCAGCCAAACCACAATAACTAACTTTCCATTGTTTCTAGAGATACCTGCCTCATGCAGCATCTTTGCCTCACGGCTCTCTCATGCGCCATCACAGTTGGAAATCCCCTGGTCGAGAGGCTGGACGCACATTATCCTCCCAACTAATTGATTTTTTAAATTGAACTGTTTTTTTCCCCCCACCTTTATTGGTGTAGGCTTGGGAAGGTGCGGGCAGTGAAGTGTCTCCAAACAAAGTACGACTTTGACATGGCAGAAATGTTCGTTTTTGTGATGGTCATGATATAGTTGAGCTACTCATCCTGCATGGATTGAGATCTCTGACCTAATTCTTCTATCTGTGACTGGACAGCACTGAGTCTACCAACGGAATGAGTGACAATCTAAAACTTGACACGTCTAGAAAGGCTCTCAGTCGAGCGCAAACTTTCTACCAAGGCCCGACAGTCTCCTTAAATTCAATCACGCCTTTGAGCTGGGCCAATAAAACAATGCAGACCGTAAAATTCTAATCTTCAGTGTGGCTGAATGATGAGTTTTATTCATCATGTGCCATGAAAAAATTCCTGTATCCGACCCTTTGTCCATATCCTCTATTCAGTGAGTTCTTTCTTGGACCATCTTTCCGATAAGTCTCTATTTACATAATCCTGCTGATAAACAAACCATCCAACCGACCCAACCAGTGAAATACCTCGACTCGAGGAACTGGCCTCTCCATAATTGGGAATCCTTCAAAACAAAGATCCTTGTCCATCTGACAGAGCGAAACACTCAGTTAACTTGGAACCCTTTTGTCTAGTGATACCCAAGGACATGCCTGAGGTGATTCTAATTTTCTAAGACATCCATTGTGCTTTGGAAAATGTATAAATGAGTTTCATTACACCTCGATACTGGAAGGAGAACAGGCTTTAGTCTGCAGCAGCCAGTTTGTCCATCAGCAGCCATGTCTCCTGTCAGAGTGCTCTTCAGTTTCACGTTGATGACCAACGTGCAAGTCTTGATACGAGTGCAGATAAATTTAAGACCCGGTGCTGCTACAATGTTTGATTTCTAATCAAGTTACAGATTGTTTAGTCATCAGTGAGCAGAACATCGTAATAAAAATCAACTGTAGTTTAAAGCAACACCACGTAACTTTTACTGCAACAGCGCCCTCTGTAGCAATCTGTTAACTGAACTGGAACACAATTGAAACTTGGATCCTACCCATGATCCCCAGCTTCCTGAACCAGAAAAGCTGCCGCTGTAATACATTCACCAAACTCTGTTGAAAATTCTTCATATTTTAAAAGTTTCCTGGGTATTTTTAACTGATCAACAATTACTTTTGAACTTGTTGTGCTTGACAGCTGTTACGATGAGTCAGTTCCATACTTCTCACAGGAGATCGTACCCACTCACCAGAGTTACATAGACAACAACAGACATTCAGGGTGAGGAGTGGGAATGAGAGAGGAAACATTCTCCCTGCTCCAAGTCAGAGAAACATCAAACTCATTTAGAAGCTGATATTAAAAGGAAAAATACTGTCGTGTTTTCAAACATCAACCTTTTCGTGAACGTTTCTGGATTTAATGTTTACTCTGTCATTCTGACGGACTGCTGATACAGGGTGCCCTCGTGCTCATGCACAGACAGGTGGTGTCGAGTGGTCGTAACTTGTGAGCGTGCACATCAAGCCTGGATGCCATGAGCACGTGAGTAGCCGTTAGAAGACTTACCGTCATTCCTAGTCTGAGCTCCAAGCAGCTTTTTGTAAAGAGCATCACAAAGCTTAAATGTTTCTGGGTAACATCACTGGGTCAGTGTAGATGCACTGAACGGTGCTAATGCAATTAGAAATGACATTTATTGTCAGGTTAGCACAAGGAAGGTGTCTGAGCATCACAAGGATCATTGAAAATTATAAGAAACCAAAGAAGTCAAGAGTAAAAGTGTTAACGCTCAAACATGTACTGACCAAAGTCTATGTCCAGCAGCGCTGCGTTGGCTCCTTCCACCAGGATCTTCTTGGGTGGACCATGAAGAGCCTCGTACATGTAGTGCACTCCATCTCTCACCATGGGCTTGATCTCCTCCACGTAATCCTAAAAAAACACACAAATGTTACTTCACAAAGGAAAAGTTCACATTTCCAGAACTATTTTATAAGCTTCATTTATATTACCTTTAATTTGACCAGCTCTCCTTCTATGTCAATCTCCAGAGTGGGGTACATAGACTTGTACTGCCGGGCCAATACTTTATACCTGGAACAGGCATCATTGATCAGTTTAATAACTTCCTCTGACAGCCATTAACCCCATGAGACTCAAACACAGGAGCCACAAAACATATTAGTGTACATGTAGCTTAACAGTGATATTTGGTATTTGATTTCAAAGTTTAAGGACTGACTAGCCAATGTATTGAGATAGCAAGGGTTTTGTTTGTGCAGCTCTCTCCTTCACCAAATGCTGCGTTGTTTTATTGTCGGGCTGAAAGTAGAGTTGTTCTCATCGATATGTAGCCAAGGAAATGTTTCATCGAGGGTAAGGGTCATAGTAAGTCATGGAATAATCAATTACATCAGATTTAATAAGTGATAAATTAATGAGTGATCTTAACACATTGCCCGAAGGTCTTTGGAGAACCTTCCCACACACACACTTGAATTCACTTAAACCCAGAGATCCTGTAGAATTGACACAGACCTTTCAGAGAACTGAGTGAAGTCAGCCAGCAGGTCACATATCCTGAGACCACTGCGTGCAGCCTTGGCCGAGTAGACTGGACCAATCCCCTTCTTTGTTGTCCCGAGACTGGGCGGGGCCAAGAGAGGAGGAAGGGGAAGAATAGAAATAGAAGTAGTGTTAGCGAGTGATCTCAATCTACAACATGCTTCTTTTTTACAGTTTCAAGGTTCATTACGTCTTTTACAGAATTACTGTAAAACACTAAAAATGAGCAGTGGTTTTAATATGTAGGAAAATTACGGGAGGTCATGTTACGACTTTGGAGCTGAGATTTGACTTTAAGATAAAATGCAAAGTGGATATCAGGCTTCAGGCAGACACTAAATATCTTCACACTGATTTATTACTTGAAATTAGACTTTTTTCCACCATTTATGCATGACAGGGTGAAAGATAAGGACATAACCCGTTAAAGCAGTTAACCATTTACATATGACACACTCAACACATCCCTTTTATAACTTGACCTATTCAGAGGAAAAGTCTTGGCACAGCAGAATCTGCACACACCACACGCAAACTACAGAATGGAAAACGGCCAAAGATCCTCTGGGGTTTATTCAGTTTCATCATTAGCAGCAGCAGTGTCCAATCAGCAGTTCATGGTGTGACTGAAGAGTCAACACAGTTTTGACTCAATGCACAAAACACACGTTTGGAAGTCAATTAATCCTAACAGCTGTTGACAAACACACAATGAATAGGTGCAAACTGTTTACAAAACTAAGATCACTGCTACAAAAATATACTTTCAAACACATCTCCTTTGACTGATAGAAATCCTGAATGTTCTCTGCACTGAGTTCACCAGCCTCTCCAGCAATAATATGACGATTATAATGACTGTTCCATTAAGACAGACGCACACACACAAACACACACGCACACACACTGGAGCTGGCTGTGTGTTTGGGGCTTTGAACAGAAATACACTCGGGTTCTGTTTAGTTTAATATTCTTAACACTCGTCAGGTTCAGCTTAGAATTCTGCACATGAATTACTGCCTGGGCTCACAACTTATTCAAACTAAACAGTTTTAAACTAGTGTAGATTGAAACATGCAACTGACTCCCTGGAATAATTAAGTGAAATGTCTTGGTGTAGTGTGTATGTGACCCCGACAAGGAAACATACTGGTTTATTCAGTCTCTCGGAGACAAAGCAGTTCTCGTCTATCTGTCTGTTCGTAACCTCCACCTGCTCGAGGGCTGATACTCTCAGTCTGAGGAGTCTTCAGGCAGAGCAGTGTTTGGATCATAGGTGTGTGTGTGTGTGTGTGTGTGTGTGTGTGTGTGTGTGTGTGTGTGTGTGTGAGTCACAGTAAACTCATCCACATACAGGAGATGAAGATAAATGTGAGTGCGAATTAATAATGGATGACTTGGATTTATTTTTCCATTATTCATTTAAGATTATCTGTAAAACACATATATACGGTGTGTTATGTATGTATAAAGCAAAACTTGCTGGAATAGATGAAGAATTTAACCATAAAGTGTAAAAAGTGCTTAATCACACTCCGATTATAAGTCCGACGTGTGTGTGTGTGTGTGTGTGTGTGTTGCGCCCATTTTCAAAGCAACTGGTTTCTTACTTCTTGCCTGCTTGCTCTTGTCTCTGCTGTTCCTGAACACCATCAACCGCTTGGTGGAAGTCAAACACTGCGGAGGAGGGAGAGAGGGGACACACACTCTCACACACCTCAAGAAAAAGCAGGGCTCGCACACACACTTTGTTTGCATGCACACATTCAATCATTCACACAAAGTTAAAAAAAAACAGCGGGGAGGTGGACTCACCAATGTGTGCTCTGTCTGAGATGATCAACCTTTTCTCCCAGCCTTTTAGACCTACACACACAAACACAGCACTGTCAGGGTGTTCCTGTTGTTATGTTTGTATGTGTGTGTTTAAACAACTGTTCACTCACTTTTCCCTTTGCGTTCGTTCTTTTCTGCCTCTTCAAACAGGCCTGGAAGGTGGATCACAACACCGTTGCCTAAAAAAAAAACAAAGAAATGGTTTTAAAGTCAGTTTGTCATGATTTGCATAACTTCTTTAGTTGGTTACCCCTCAAAAAACAAACATTGACTTGTGACCTCTCCTTAAGGTTGATTTAAATATATCCATGAGTTGTGAGTGATTTGAAATGATGACGGAGTCTTTTCATTATTCTGAAGCAAAAGTATCAATAACAGTGAGAGTAAGTTTACAAAGATTATGAGGAATATGTATTTTAAAGATAAATATTTCAAGCACATGCATATATATATATAAAGAGTTCATATTTCATTACTTGTCATGGCAGATGCATAAATGCTCTTTACCCCTCAGTCTCTATCTAATCACTACATTTTAGAAACATATCATATGTTTGTGTTCTGATGAGGATGTCCTGTGTCTCTGGAATAACTCCAGTTATTAATACGTTTTTCATCAGTTAGTATTATTTGTCAAACGCTGAAGACAACTCCTATTCGGCAGGACATGGCCTCTCAGCTGAACTTGCATGACAGATACAAATAAACCGCTATCTGCTGCTAGGTTGTGGCAGTGGCAGCAGGCGGTCCACACATTCCTCTCCACAGCAGCCTGCCATATTTTATTAGAATTAAAGTAGCCAGCTGGACTTCATTGAGTAGTTGGAGGGAGCTCTGCCGGTCAATCCCCATTAGTCTTTTATGTGAAAAACTCAAAGGCAGCTAAGAACAAACATTGTGTAGCTACACACCCTCAGCCTATGTGACTGTTAGGGCCTCTCTGCACAACGCTCTGTGTCGTGTCTGGTGCAGGCTCTGCTCACTCAGCTCCGCTCCAGACATGACACAACAGAGGAGTCCAGCAGGAATGTGAAGGAACAGGATATGTAAAGTGGCTCTCAGCAGGATGACCCCTCTCTGGAATCTGACTGCAGGAAATCCATCATAGCAACAGAACACTATAATACCTGCATTTCACTTTGTTGTCTTTGTCTTTAGTGTGTGCCATAACCAGCACCTATTCTTTGACTCTTTGATTATTATTATTATTTATTTACCATAGTCACCATCTCAGTTTGGCACATTAGTAGATTAGCACAACACAAAAAGAATATTTTTTTCAGGAATCTGGTTAATTACCAAAGTACTGGACAGACAGATGCTTAATCTGATGATGGAGCGAGATGAAAAGCAAAGGGACTGTGAAACAGTCCTCAGGGGGTCATTAGTGTCTACCTCAAATTTCAAGGCAATCCGTCAGTGGTCACTGAAAACCACAAATATGGCCTCCCCAGAGGAAAATACAGGAAGATACAGAATTTAAAATGTCCAGTTCTGTCTCCAGTGATAGAACAGCTGAGTGCCCCATCTTCCAGCGCAAAACAAACGGTAATAGTTGCATTCTAATGGGAACAGCTCAGAAAATGCTAATTGTAATAAAGAGGAAAAGAACAAATAAGTTACTGATAATTCAGTTCATTAATGTAAGCAAACAAGAAACTTTTTTTCACATTAAAATATGCATGTCATATTTTACACGGAGTGTGTGAGCCTGCAGAGGAACATTAATGTGTAGAAATGGGATTAAGAATCGACAGATCACGCATCTATACATGTTGATATGTGGAGGCTCAGGAGACAGAAAGAAAGAGCAAGACGCCATTAGCTAATGAAGTTACTGCAGATGAGTGGATGTGGCGAAGCCTGCAGTCTGGCTCCGAGTCAAGACCATCACACTCCCTGTAGCAGTCGTCAAAATGGAGTCACCGACAGTTCATCGAGAAAATAGAAAGGAAAGATGGCCTTGGAACTGTGTGTGATTGTGTGAGAGTAAAGGTGTGTGTGAGTGAGTGTGTGTGTGAGTGAGTTTAATTGTTTCTGCGTGCTTGCATCGGTGCACGTTACACACCAATGAAGGCAGTGACCTTGGGGTTGATGATGCCGCTGGGGAGGAGGTGAAAGTCGTACTCCACTGAGCCAACCACCACCGTGTGTCCTGCGTTGTTACCGCCCTGCGAAGGAGAGACAAGCAGAAACACAGAGAGGAATGAGATCAATGGAGGCGCTGCGACTTATGCTCGATGGCACTGGGAGGCAGAGGACGAATAGTTTGGCGAGCAGCAACAAGTAAATATACAAACGGCTGGCCAACTGTCAGTGCTCTGTCTGCTGCTGCTTAGAGAGTCCTGCTCACTGTGCACTCACATCTCAAGGCCTCGCTCTAGTGTAAACTGACACATGTGTCATCAGAGGAGAGGTAAAAGGGAGTTAGTGCTGTGGATTGAACAAGAGGGTGAACAATCCTCTAACCAAGGACATGTCTCATCAAGAATTGCTGCTCCTTCCTCCACATTGAGAATAAACAAAATAATCTAGGACCGTTCTTCATCATTGCCAGTAAACTTTAGCCTCAACGCAGCCAGCGCTCAACAAAAGATATGAAGAAATCATGTGAGGGCTGGGTGATAGGTCAGAAATCATATTCAAATTATAAGTTATCTATATTACTATTGTTATATGTCTTGAGATAGCAACAACAATAGATATATAGTTTAATTGTCCTGCTCTATAGTGTGAAACCACTTGGCTGGAAAAACGAGCAGCTTGCTAGCTAGAATTGGAAGGTCAGTGGTTTGATCCCTGGATCCTCGAGTTTGCAAGTGCCGAGACACTAAAACTCAAACTGTCCCGAACGGCTGCGTCGCGTGTGAATGGGATGATGGAGAACGATTTATATATAGAAGCACTGTAAGAATGTGTGCGTGGACTGTGACTCGTGGATTTAATCCCTGTGCAAGATCATTAACTAGAGAACATAATATAAATTCTGTCCTTTTTCTGAAGCGTTGATCATAATCAGACATCTGAAGACGACACATTGAGCAACGTGTGAACTTTGGATTATGAAAGTTAGTTGCATACCAAATCATGCAGTACATCAATTTATTTCAGTGTTTGTCAGAAAAGACTCACATATTCATGCTTGTTAAAGAGTTGGTAAGTTGTCTTAAACACTTTACATCATATATCCTCACGGCCCAATGGCCATCAACAAATTAAATTTGGATGAATAAAGTTGTCTGAGATGACCATGTCCACTGCTCACTGGGAGTTTTTGAACAGGCAAAGACACTGACATGTGTTGGCGGGTGCTGTAATGTGGATGTTTTTCTTCTCTATGACGATAACACAGCTGCAGGTCCATTCATGCCTCTGCAGCTTGCAGCTCAATACCTGTGGTGCAGATTCAACTCAGTCCGTCCTGTGACCAGGATGTGTTCTCAGCCCTGTGGATATAAATGAAGCTCAGCATGTGCTTCGACCACATGGAGTTATTCCTGGCCCCGGCAGTACCCTGAAGGTGGAGAGGGGGAACAGATGGGGAGGGGCACATGCCTCTCCTTTTTAGCTACATTTACGATCTAACCCATCCCCCACAGAACCCAACTCCACTTCTCATCCAGTCCCATGATCTGCTTCTTATCACGAGAAGCACAACTTCTCAGTGGCTTGCTCTTGTGCTGTGGTGTGTTTCACTTGAGGGCCTGATATGAATTCTGAATGACGGACACATGGATGTTTATCTAACACCTCTTTCAGAATAAAGCTATAGAGTTCACTGTTGGCATCGATGGATCAAGACCCGATCTGAGAACGGATCGACTGTCGGATGTGTTTACAGCTCGTTTCCTGAGTTGCACAACAACTGTTCCCAAACGTTTGCTGGTACTCCAGTAAACACCTTTGTGTTTATTGATTGACAGCCAGATTGAATGTCTCTCCGTTGTCCTGTATCAAACGTGTGTATGACACCGTGTCTCCGAGCAGTAGCGTCACCAGGTGAAAACATAAACCGCCTCCTGAATAGGTTCAAGGTCTCAAGTTCAAGCCCTGGTGTTGGCAACACCTTGAATATTGTTTAAAAGAGGAGCTCCAGTTGGTTCATCTGAATGCCTTAACTGAACCTGATACATAATGAGTGACTGACTGATAAAAACGTCGAGACGGTTTTATCAGAACAGTGCAGATATCTGTGTTAACAACAGAACCTGCATGAGCTATAAAAAGCTCCTGTATCAGTCGCCCTCTATATCAGACTCTGTTAATGAACCCTGTTCATTAAAATGTCTAATCGACAAAACCAAGGTTTATTTTGCTGACTTATACTTACGTTTTCAAAATGTTGAAAGCTGTTCAAACTCTGACATCTCATTTGGCTCTGCTAGAACTTCAGGGGCAAATGACGTATGACGAAGGAAAACACTGCGTAATGGATCACAATTTTTCATTTATGTTTGCTGTGTACTCTGATACCAAATCTTCCCAAGTTAAGCATAAATGCAAACAAGGCGACAAAATCTTCATGCATACAAACTCTATTTACCATAAGTGTCTCCTGGCGGACAAACACAAAATACTGGCTTAGCTCGTAATGTCAACACAACAGGACTTCTCAGAAAATATCTCCGACAGGCAGCAAATAACTCGATGAGCTTGTTTCACACCTTTTTAGTCGTTATATGCTGAGACTGTTTAATATCATTCTGGATTTAACTTGAGTCACAGAATTGTTTTGAATGTTTTCATTTTGACTTGAATGCTGTTTTATTTTTCTTCATGCTGGTGTCATGTTGTTTTGTTACAGTGCGATTTTCCCCAAAACACATTTAAAAGCAAGTCTGAAGTTTATGCAACTTTATAAAAGTGATATTAACTCCGTAATGAAATCAATGTTTAATTACTTTCAGGTATCCTCTTGATGCTCTAATTTCAGGAGCGTGAACTTTACCTCCCTCTTGTCATTCAGCTCTGAGTAATACCTCAGTAAAAAATAATTCGGTCTTATCAAAGTTTCTGGCTGATTATTCGATTTCACCTGCTGTTGCTTATTTTCTAGATTGATTCATTCATTGTTTTGCCTCTAAAATGTCAGAGGATGTGAAAAAAGAATCCATAATAACTTCCCAGATCCCAACCAACACATTCAAACAGCTTGCTTAGTTTGACCAAGACTCCAACGTATTCAATCTACTGACATATGGCAAAGAAAGGCAGCATTTTTACCAAAAGATAGGAATATGCACTTTCTCCACTCTGTGAAAAAACATTAGTTATTTTATTTGTGGTGAAGCATATGTATATATATATATATATGATCCTGCCACCAGTCTCCTGAGACGTGTTTAGCAGCTACACACTGTAACCCCAACTCTAACTTCTAGGAAAATAGACATCTGGGCTGTAAGTAACACCAAGCAAGAATGCTGGCAAAGCCTATTTTATAAAAAGATCAATGCTATCAGCTGCAGCACCTCAGCACACACTCACACATCAACAAGCCCCCAACAAACACACACACACACACTATAACCTAAGGAGATGTGTGGATATTTTTTACATGAGGAAATAAAGAGGTTCAGGAGGAGAATGTTTGTTATGCCAACTTGTTGACACAACTATCAGGCAGAGTTGATTAAATATCGATATCACCTCAAATGTGAACCTATTGGGGGTCACTCAGTTGCGGTCAGTAAATTAACAGGAACAAAAGGTTGTAAATGATACGACTCTGAATGAGTTAACTCAACGAATCGATTAAACTATGATGGAGCACATTTCCAAAGGAGGTTCAAATCCCGTTCCTGCGAATGCTAAATATGAGAGTTCATCTCAAAGGATCAGAATCCAAACTTCAAAGTTGTGGAAATGCTTTAAAACAGAGATTTAATAACTTGGTCACTAAAGTTGGGCGATCTTCTCCAACGTACTCACATCTCTCTGAGAATCGGGGAGGCTCATAGAAACAGCTGTTTGTGGCTTGCAGTGCTGTCCCTCTATCGCTCACTTGTTGACTGTCCATTCACTTAAAATTATTGCAGAAAGTTTGAATAACACTGAGAACAACCTACTCAACATCAGTAGGTTTAACATAGTTCCTATATTCACTGATTTCATGTTTAGATTTGTCACCGATTTCATATTGTGAGTCTCAGCAAGAGGCAAAGCAGAAAAAAATGCAAAAATTGATCACAAAAAGAATTGGTTGACCCCAATTTAACTGTTTAGGTCACACGTTGTTTCTGAACGCAGCATGTACCAAACAAGATGCACACATTTAGAGACCAGTGAACATTGTGTCACATTTAGCAGCCAGATTCTTCCTTCAGGAGTTGGTAGAGACCGAAATAGAGCAAAAGAGGAGAGAGAGCATGAAGCTTAGATTCAACAGGTGGCAAGAAAAAAAGCTAAACTGCAAATGAACAATAATGTTGCTCTGTGACGGCTGGATGCATAAATAACCAAGCAGCAGTTTTTGAACTAGGTGCACATGAAGGTTGATGCAATATCTGTGTTTTGCTCACAGCTTATATCCGCAGCCCCCCCCCCCTCCCTAAACAAATGAGTTATTTCAGGTTTGAATTTGAATTTCACTCCATGCTGAAATGAAGGGAACCAGTGCTTTCCTACTGACGCAAACTGTTTTGTGAACGCAGTAACACTGAGTATACACAGACGATGCCGTCGTGGGATTTGTTTTAGCTCAGATGAGTCAGGAGAGAATTTCTCTAAAGAACATGTACAGACCCTGCAGCAACAAAAACAGGATGAACTGCATGTTGCTGTCAGCCAAAGTTAACTCAGCTGAGTGGTTCACAAATGTTTTGTTGCCCAGACATGAAGTGATGCCAAAACATAAGGAGGTTTGACCAAACAAAGTTTTACACCACAGACTTCAGATTCTTTAGAGAAGATGTGCTTGGAGCATCGGGAGCATTTCATCAGACGCTCTGTGTCCAAGATGTTTGTGATCCCTTAAAGATGAAGTGTCAATGTGCCAAGGCCTTAAAACTAGTTGTTCCACTTGTTTTTAGCAAGAAGCCTCAGGTCTGTACGTTCTGAGTTTTGTGTTATCAACATATGCACTGTTCTCACTTATCTTGTTTTGCACCACGTCCCCGCCTGGCCTGTTGTACTGCATGAGCGGGCAGAGCAGGACAGTGTGTGTGTGTGTGGTGCACATATCTACAGTGTATGTGTGTGTGAGGGCAGCTTGCACGATCAGGACCAAACAGTTTTACAGGAAAATAAAAACATCTGAGTATGAAACCTTCGGTGCTTATTAACACACAGTCACGTTATCATTACCAAAATACTTGATTTCAACAGGGCACTTCTGCTTCTGTGTCCATCACTAAACCATTAATATGAGTAATGTTTGGGTTGCCAGGTTGTGGAAAACCCTGCTCCAGCACGACACTTTACTCATCGTGCAAATAGAAAAATAATCTATATTTTCCTCAAGACAATAAAACAACAAACCAACAATAGTTTTTTTCCCCTGTCCTGTCTGTGATATTCATCCAGAATTCTTGACTATTACAAGCTTTTATTTGTATTATCAATCAAATTACTGATTTTATTCATCACAGCTCCTCCTCTCGTTTAAAAGGCTTGAAACTGAAAATCTCTTTCCCATTTTCTCTAGAAGTATTTTGTGGGATTATTCACTGATTAATGTATAATTGTTGGCAGACCAATGAATACATTGCAGGTCCACTTATGACTGATCTAAAAAGCTGTATTAAATGATTTATTACCCATTAATCAACCCTTTTCTTCCAGTTTATAAACCTGTGTATAACTGTGTGATGGAGCTAATGCAGAGTCAGGAAGCTGCAATTACCATCAGCCCGGCTAATGGAGGATATCATCCACTATCATTAATTAAATGTATCACGCAGTGAATGGTTCAGTCAGAATTAATTCAAGCTCAAACTGTTTGCGGGTCCAGAACCAGTTCGCTAGCGAGGTTTCCTGCTGTATCGCCGGGGGAGGGGGGGGCAGTGACCGGACTGGAGCCGCTGTGTGAAGCCGCGGTGTGAGGTGATGCTCTCGGTCACTTCAGTTAGAAACAGCCGCTCTCGGCTTCCTCGTCATGTGCACACGACAGGAGACGATTCCCCGGCAGCTTTGAAGGTGCGAGGCGCTAAAAGCAGCTAGCAGCAATTCAAGGTGACATTAGCAAAACACGGCGGGAGCAGCACACAGACCGGGGGTGGGGGGGGGCTCTGCAGTTTAGCTAGCCGGCTCCTCGTTAGCTGCTCCCCGGGTCTGACACCCCAAACTTGGTGCCCCGGTGCTCCGGGCTGGACGGTTGGGGGGTGGGGGGGTTCCCGGTAACTAGCTTAACAAGTGAAGGCGGCACGGAGGAGCTAACACCAACCTGACATCTGCACACCATGTCCGCGTCCTGTGCCAGCAGATCCACAACTTTCCCCTTCCCCTCGTCGCCCCACTGCGCCCCGAGCACCACGGTCACTTTGTTGCCGACGGACGGTCGAGGTGGCCGCGTCGTCCCGCCGCCGTTCGGGGCCCCGGTGTCTTCCTGGCTCCCGCTTTCCGACATCTCAGCTGGGTCCCTGGCTCGGTGCTTCAGTGGATCGCTGGTTCACTCGTGCGCCTATTTCACCGCGCTGCCGCACCGACGAGAGGAGGGAGCTCGGGCTGAAGTTAGTCTGTGGTTCGACTGTTCACATGTTGACTCAGGTGGTTTTTTATGATTCACTTGTTTCTGGGTCTGAATGAAAACACGTTTTTATTCATGAAGTTACATCAGTGACATTGTTTCCACCGTCAGACCTGAACAACAGGTCTGAAACCACGTTAGACTTGTCAAACCTGGACCAGATTCAAATAATAAACTCTTACACCTAAATGAATACACTGTAATAACAATACACAGCTTTTAAAACACAGCTTTAGATGTGTGGGACCTTTATTTTATACATGATGACACTGTTTTTACCATCCAGACCTGAACAACAGGTAATACCACATGTTAGACTTGTCAAACCTGGAATAGATTAAAATGATAAACACTTATATATATATATTTATTACCAATGCAATTCTGTTTACATCAATGCATCACTGTCTGTCTATATTCTCTTCTGTCTATACTATTCCACCAGTGCAATATTTACCACTACCAGTGCCATTTTTGCAATTTCTTGTAAATACCAGTGCCAATTCTGTTCATTCTTACTTTTACTATTTACTTTTACTATCTTAATACTTATTTTTATACTTGTTTGTTGGTTTTTGTTTCTTTAACTCTAAATGAGTCAAGCACCTTTTAATTTCGTTGTAACTTTTACAGTGACAATGACAATAAAGTCTTATCTTATCTTATCTTACTTGCTTATAAATTAATACATTATAGTTACAATAAATATTTTTTTTAATCTTTCAAATCTTCAGATGTGTGAGACCTTTATTATATATGTGATGAAACTGTTGTTATAATACTGTCTCAGATGACTGAAACTTTTATTTCATTTGTGAAAAACACAACAAGGAGTCATTTCACAGCTTTCACAGAGTCAAACTGTGTTTAACCCAGAGAACCTGGACACTGTTTAAAACAGTCTCAGATGAGTGAAACCTTTATATCGATTGTGGAAACACAACAGTGGATGATTTCACAGGTCTAAAATTAAAAAACATTATGGTGAGACTAGTCTTACCTGGACCAGATTAACCAAAAGAAGCTCGACACAGTTTAAAGCACAGGGTCAAATTTGTGACAAAGTGTATTTTATGTGTTTAAACATTAAAAAATTCAAATATTTACAAGTCTGGATCAAAAACCACGAGTTGTCTTGCCTGGACTAGATTAAACCATACTGTTTAAGACACAGATCAAGATTATTGAGTCTGTTATGTTTTATTTTTTTACTGAGACTTAGAATAGACTCAGTATAACTCAGAGTATTTGAACATTGATTAAAACACAGAGTCACATTTGTAAGAACTTTGTTTTATTATCAATCGAATTACTGATTTTATTCATCACAGCTCAACCGTCTAATGGTAAACCAACTTCAGAGAGGAGCTCACTCCACGGCAACGTTAGACGCGAGGAAGTAACACACCTCGCGCATGCGCACAAGTGTCCGATAACAAAACGCTGCTAAACTCAAATGTGAAAAGGAAATAAAAAATAAAGTGAAAGACACGAGCAGCGGCAGGTTTATATTCCATCGACCAGGAGATCAAACGAGCAATAGACCACATTTATAACGCTGTACTTGGAATTAAGTAGGAGGAGAATCATCTTGATGCTTTTACAATCTTTGAACTCACTCCCACTTTACTGGAGGTGCGTTAAAGTCAAAACTCAAAGAAAAGAAACCAGTGAAACATCCAGTGAAACATCCAGTGAAACATCCAGTGAAATATTCCAGACAAACATGATTTAATAGCCATTAGATATTAAAGGCTTTTTAACTTACCAGCTTCTTGAGAGCCTTCAACTTTTCTAAACATAAAAAACACAGATAACGATCAGTACAGTAAGAAGTAACCATTACTCAAGTATTTGAAGTTGTCATTTCCAAACACTTGCATGTACAGAACATAAAGCACCTTTACATCAGTGACAATACAATAGATTCAGATCTCAACACTTCTCTGGCTTCCTTCATTGTGCAGCAGTTATTTGATTAAAAACATTTACTGGAGCTAAACACTGGAAATTACATGTGTTGCTTCTTGAATGATTTGGCTCCCTCTGATGGTGATCAATGATACATTCACGTGTCCCTTTGCTCATGTTATGGAGCATTATGCAGAAAATGTTCTGCACCTGAACCTGATATGTTACACTCATTAGGTACCTGCTGCATGAGGAGATAAAGCAACAATAATAGCGTAACCCTTCAGGATACAAACTGTTCACTGTCAAAGCAACAGAAAATCATTATCAGTCATTTTTTGCAGACTTGTTGTTTTTTGTCTTTGCATACCTACTGCAGATGGAGGAGCACAGTGCCAGGTACACCTCACATCACGACTGTCCTCTCCTGTCCTCTGAGCTCAGCGTGGGACAGATGGTCATGTGGGTGTGGACGAGGGTGAGAGCAGGGAGCAGTGGGCCCAGGTCACGACTCAGTCTCCTCCTAACAGAAGCTTTTGTTAATAACAAACTGATGCCACTCACTATCTTCAGCACTTAGAAGAAGAGCTGGGTGTTTGTTCGCTTCTCATCTGGTTGTCACAGAAAGGGAAAAAAAGGAAATTTGAGTATCGGAATCTAATGTTTGCTTTTGCATCATTGTTTTATTAGCTGCCTCTGTCACTCATGAGTCCTTGTAGTTTCCTCAGGTATTTCAGGAGCCACAAGCAGACACAGGCCAGAGGAAGGTCGGAGCAGGGAGCTGATCTGTGTCCCTTTTCTTATGGTTGAACTATAAACTCATATTATCTATCAACAACATGTGATTTTCTTTCTCTTCATAAGAAAACGTACATTTTATTATTGGGAAAAGTTTGTACCATTCACACATACAAATGGACGAACTCCAAATCAAAATTTGAGAATAACTGCATCAATTCTGCAACATGTTTAGACGACTCAAGAAT